TACCTACGTTTCTGTTTTCCACTCTGAGTGGGCTTGGAATCCCGCTCTCCCCTGTCTGTTGATTCCTACTAAAGCAAAACTGGATGGGGGTGGGCAGGCGAAAATAAATCCGAAAATCAGCCAGACTTTCAGTCATGCTGCCTTTCCCCACTGCCTTGCACCCACCCTGCATTTGGGCTCTGAGGGAGAGAATCTGGAGAGAGAGGGAAGACTGAACGGGGGGTGGGGGGTGGAAAGGGGGCTGCATTGAACTTCAGGGAGTTTCCTGGGGGGGGGCGGGGAGAGCAGCATCCTTCCCCTGCTGCTTCACACTTCTCACGAAGTGTGGCCAAGGATGGGTCAGGAGAGGCAGGTAGACACCACGCTTCTCTCCTTCCAAGCCATGGGCGAAGGCTTAGAGCCCATGGGTTTGTGTTGTCTTGTGCCAGCAGAGCTTCCGGCTTCTCGGAGCATTTTCGCTGCTGTCAAGCATTTGGTCTCTGAGATACCCTGTGGTACCCCCTGTGGGGATAAATGGTGGGCTTCCTTATCCTCTGTTTGTTAAGCACAGAGAGGTCACCTGTCACACACAGGCCCCCCGGTGCAGAGGGCAGAGCCCCCTGGAGCCAGGCCCAGGCTCTGTGGCCTGTAGGGCCAAGGGTGTGCTGGCCCAAGGGGTCTAGGTGTGCGTATTTAATCAGAGTGAAGTTCCCATACCAATGTCAACCAAGAGTACAGTTCAGCGGCACTCAGTACATTCACGCTGTTGCGTAACCACCACCTCTCCGTAGGTCCTCACGTTTTCCCAAAACGTACTCCCTGTTTCCCTCTTCTCCCAGCCCCTGGCAGCAACCATTCTGCTTTCTGTCTCTGCAAATTTACCTGTTATGGATATTTGATAAAAATAGAATCATACAACGTGCGACCTTGGTGTCTGTTTCGTTTCTCACTTGGCAGTGCTGGGGAACTTCATCCACGCTGTGGCAGGTATCTGCACCTCCTTACTCTCTGGTGTGGCTGAGTAATACTCCATGGCAAGGCTACACCACATTTTGTTTATTCATTCAAGGAGAGGATTTCTTTTTCACTCTAATAATTAATTTTATATGGTGATGAAATAAACATAGCATCAAATTTACCATTTTAGCTATTTTTTTAAAGATTTTATTTATTTATTTATTTGAAAGAGAGCAGAAGCAGAGGGAGAGGGAGAAGCAGGCCCCCATGTTAGCTATTTTTAATTATACAGTTCAGTAGCCTTAAGTAAGGGGTGCCTAACTGGCTCAGTTGGTAAAACATGCAAATTTTGATCTTGGGGTATGATGAGTTCAAGCCCCACCACTGGGCATAGAGATTACTTAAATAAATAATAAAATATGTGTGTTCAGTGCTCCTGGGTGGCTCAGTCATTAAGCGTCTGTCTTCAGCTCAATTCATGATCCCGGGGTCGTGGGATCCAGCCCTGCATCAGGCTCCCTGCTCAGCGGGGAGCCTACTTTCCCTCTCCCATTCCCCGTGCTCGTGTTCCTGCTTTTGCTGTATCTCTCTTGCTGTCAAATTAAAAAAAAAAAAAACTTAAAAAAAAATACGTATGTTCACACTGTTGTACAACCATCACCACCAATCATCGCCATGAGAGGGGATATTTTTAATTTTGCAGTTTTCCTAAAGCCTCCTATAGAAAAACTGGTTCTCTACACACAACACTTCAGACACCAAACATGTAGGGTAGCCGATTTTCCAACCCCCTCCCCCGGACACCAAGTGGGTGTCCTGAAATTTATCATTTCTGACACCAACCTGAAATTAGTGTCAGACTCCACAAGTTCAAGGGCTCAGTCCCACACAACTGTTCTCACTTCAGAGGCCAGTGACAAATCATTGGTCCCTAAGGTACTCACAATTCTGTCCAACATGGTTACAAAGTTCCCGCAATCCCTCCCCACCTCAGTTTCAATAATTGGCTGGAGTTTTTCACAAAACTCAGAGAAGCGTTCACTGTGTTTACTGGTTTATTATAAAGGATACAAATGAACAGGCAAATAAAGAGATATATAGTGTGAGGTTGGGAAGGGTCCTGAGCTTTGTCCCCGTGGAGTTGGGGTATGCTGCCCTCCTGGCATGTAGATACGTTCATCAACACAGAAGCTCTCTGAACCTCATAGTTCAGGCATTTTTGTGGCTGCTTCAATACATAGGCGTGATCTATTATTAATTTAATATCTAGTCTCTGACCTCTTCCCAGAGGATGGGAGGTGAGGTTGGAAGTTCTAAGCTTCTAATCAAGTTTTGGTCTTTCTGGGAACCAGTCCCCATCCTGAAGCTATCTAGGAAATTTCCTAAGGGATTTAGGAGCTCAGGAATTGGGGGCAGATACATTTCTTATTATGTCACACTTCTCCTCCCACATCAGACGGCCCCTAGATCAAGAATTCTGTCATGATGAGCTCTGATGACGTAAAATGTGGTTTACTTTGATTTTTTCCCTGACAGTTCTACTCTTTCTTTCTCTCTCTCTCTCCCTCTCTCTCTCTCTAAGATCTCAATTTCTATCCTATGGATATCATTTTTCAATGTGGAGCCTTCTGAGGATTCTCCTTTCCTTTACCCCATGCAGAGGGAGGCTCTGTTAGACCAACCCTCCAGGGATACCCTAGTTCTTGTCTCTGCTCTCTCTACACATTCTGACTCATTGCCATTTCCAGTCCTCTCAAGACTACATTTTAGTGGCTCATGTCTCTGGGGTCTCAGAATCTTCCAACCCCTGACTTTTCCCCTCCCATACAGAGACATCACTTCCCTGCAGCCTCACCTCCACCTGCTCCCAGGCCCCTGCCCTCACATCACTGACTGTGTATTTGCAGCAGGAGGAAATGCTGGCGGTGCCTTCTGGCAGAGGCTCAGAGGGAAAGCTGCTCCCTCAGGAAGAGATAAGTGACAGCTCTGCAGTTTTCACTGGGCTGTTTTTCTTTGGAGGGAGGAGGTGTGCAGCTGGAGAGAGAGAGATTGGAAGGAAGGGAAAGACAGAGGGGGAGGACCCAGGCTTTTTGCCAACCTGAGTAGGAGGGGGGGTGGCAAACAGCTTTGCTCCAAGTAACAGGAACAGCAGCAGCAAAACAATTCCTGGAAATTTGCTCTTTCTCCTTCCTACCCCCCCCCCCCCCCAGTTTTTTTTTTTTTCTTCAAAAAATGTAGACAAGACATTGTAATCAACAATCAGAAAGGAAGGAAGGTACCAGGGAGGAGTTATTGGAGACAGAGATAAAAGCAGGCAGCTTCCCAGGGTCAGGTGGGGGCCAAGGGCTTGTGCCTGGACGCCAGAGGAAGGGGCTGGGCAGGCCAGCCCAGGCATCCCCCCATTTGGCTGGTTTGTGTGGCTGAGAACCCCACTTCATGTGTGGAGGGCAGATGGATTGTGGATTGGTCCAGGCTGAGGAGTTTGGCCAGCTTCCCGGAAGTCCCTGTGTACAGAAGCCCAGCCCAGCCGCAGAAGCCCTTCTGCCCTCCTCCCACAGCTTCCCCATGCCAGAGTGGCAGCCTTGTCTGCCCAACAGCACCAGATAAGGAGCTCCCCAAGGTTCCCCAAAGAAGGATGTGGTCCAGTGGCCCTGTCCTTGGTTCTGCTCAGGTCCTTCCTGCTTACTCACTATTCACTGAGACATGGCGGACATAACACTTTCTTGGGGCCAGACCTGGCTTTGATACCTGTTTCTCCCACTTAGGAGCCATGTGACTTTGCACAACCACTTTACCTTTCTTTTCTCTCTCTCTCTTTTATTAAAGATTTTGTTTTGGGGATGCCTGGGTGGCTCAGTGGGGTAAAGCCTCTGCCTTCAGCTCAGGTCATGAACCCAGGGTCCTGAGATCGAGCCCCACATCAGGCTCTCTGCTCAGCAGGGAGCCTGCTTCCCCCTCTCTCTCTGCCTGCCTCTCTGCCTACTTGTGCTCTCTGTCTGTCAAATAAATAAATTAAATTTTAAAAAAAGATTATGTTTTTATTTATTTGACACACAGAGAGAGCACACAAGCAGGGGGAATGGCAGAGGGAGCAGACTCCCCGCTGAGCAAGGAGCCTGATGTGGGGCTTGATCCCAGGACCCTGAGATCATGACCCAAGCCGAAGGCAGATGCTTAAGCAACTGAGCCACCAAGCCACCCCCACTTTACCTTTCTGAGTCTCAGTTCCTTTATATGAAGTGAGGAAAAGTGTTATTGTATGGGATGCCAGAGATGAGATATGTACAATATGTCCCTTACCCGCTTTCTAGAGGTGAGGAAGAAGAGATTCCTTCTTGTGGAATTACCTTGAGATACCTCTCCTTGGTCCCACCACCATTTTTCTTTGCACTGGATCAACACCAGCTTCCTCTTTTATTTAGTTGTCTGGTGTTGTGTTTCTTACATAGAAGGTCAAGAACATCCCCAATGGTGCTATGAACTACCACAAAAGAGATGTAGTAATAGTAACAGTTAACATTTATTGAATACTTACCATTTACCAGGCATGATTGCGAGGTGCTTGATGTTGCCAGGTGCCTCATTTAATCCACATAACAACTTAAGGAGGTGGCTACTACAAGAGACAAGGATTCTACCATAGCATGAGGCACAGGGAGGTCAGACAACTTGCCTGAGTCCCACTGTTGTAGTATTTCAGTAAACCCGTACTGCGGGGATTCTTGACCTAGATTCCTGGCACCTAATGGCTTTAGGTGATCTGTGAACCCCCTGAAAAGTATATTCAAAATCCCATGTATTTTGTTAAGTCATTTTTATGGGGCTTAGAGTCTTCTTGGATTCTCAAAAGGATCCATCATGCCAAAAATAACTGCCATGAAGCACCTCTCATGGATGGGGCTGGGATAAAAAAAAAATAAGTGGGGTATGCTATAGGCTTCTGTGGAGGTGACTCAGCCTGTGGAATTCTGGGAAATTTCTTGAGTGAGGGTGAACACCCCCCTCATGGGATGACCTGGGGAGGGGTTGAGAAAGGGGAGGAGAATTGTCTTTGCTTTCACAGGATGAAGAAGAACAACCATTTCCTCACCGTGGTTTCCCAAGAAAGTGTATGTGGAGGTGAGTAAGGTTAGTGCAAGGAAGAGGAGAGACTGAAGGCTGGGAGGTCCCCAGGGAACTGGCACCCCCCCAGCAGCCTCCAGGCATGCCTCAGCTCTTCCCTGCTCTGCAGTTTCCTATCCATCTCCTGGCTTCAGTTCCTCCCGTAGAATCCCCCCACTTCCTAATCTCCAGCACCTCCCCTGGGGGGCTCTGTAGATGTCCTGACAGTCCCTTGCTGATTCCAGATTTCTCCTGTTGTGCTCACTTTGGTTGAGCACCTGATGGGTGCTGGGCAGAAATGCCCCTTGAATTCTCCAGAGTTTCCAGAGGCCTCGACTTCCTAGGGTTCCGTCTTGATGACAACATAGGGGTTCTTAAATTCCCCAGGAGCTGGAATTGAGAGGACTCATGAGACCCTCCTGATCCTCCTCCCTTGTTATAAAGAAGAGGAGATGGAGGTCCTGCGGACTCTCACATGGTTGGACACTGTGAGAAACGCACTGTGAAAATGGAGCATGAGGTGGGGTGCGGCAGTCACCTAGCTCTGCACCCACTCCTCTTGCAGGATGTGGGGCACTGCCGGGGGCTAGACCCGTCCCTACCCCCGAGAGGCTGCAGTCCTCAATGCTCTAGGGGTTTAGCACAATGGGGTACACCCCACATTGCTTCATTCACATGAAATCATTGTGTCAGGCTGCACCTGGAGCTTCTGGATTTCTACCATATCTCTCCCCCTCAAACAATGATCATCCAGCCATTTTGTGGCCCCTTGAGAAAGGACGTTCAAGAGGTTTGGGACCACATCTAGATGTCCTTTCCAGAGTGTCAGGGAGCTGTACACTGGCTAGGGGTCTTATTTCTGCTAGTGCTTCCTGAAGGACACAAACACTGAAGCTTGCTGTAGCTTGAGCTACAGCTCAAGGGCCCGCCATGATGGCAGGACAGCTGTGAGGACAAAGACGGCCAAAATGAGCCAGGTTCAGTATCCTTCTGAGCTTCCACATGACTCACCTCCCTCCTAGGCCTCTTTTCTGGGAGAAGGTGGCTGGTGTAGTCCAGTGGATGTAGGCATGGACCTGAGCCCAATCCTGTCAGAGGCTACTGGGGTGCCCTGAGGAAGCTGCTCCAGCCCCAGCTTTGTCCACTCTCCTTTTGTGGAAGTGGGGTCCTCTGCCTCACTCTGAATCTCCTCTATGGACAGCTGTTCTGTCCGGTCTCCAGTCCCTTCTTTAGTCTGCTAAGGGGGCAGCTACCACCTCCTCCCACCATCACCCAAACACACACCAAAAGAACATCTTTGCAGTTACACGGGATTAAAGCCCTGCCTGCTTCGGTGGGGTTTAGAACACCCCCTCCCTCGGCCCCTGTGCAAACCGGTCTTTTCTGCCATTGGCGTCTGTGTCTGGGCTGGATTCTGGCTGTGGGAGGGCAGAGCACAAGGCAAGCTGGCACCCTGGGCCAGGGGAGGGGCATCTCCATGGAGTGAGACCTGCTTGGCCCAAGTGCTTCCTTTCCACCCTCCCAGCGACTGGGAGCCGTGTCTCTCCTGAGTGTGCCCACCCCCATTCCCTTCTCCCCTTTCCTTGCCTCTGAGGTCAGATTCCCCTTCAGGCTCCTAAATATCTGTCTGCCTCAGAAAACTAGTGCAGCAGGAGGGGACCTTCTACTCAGTGCCTTCTTCTAACTCTGGAGAGGCCAAGATTGACTTAGATTTCTGAGGACTGAGCTCTGTATCCTGAGCCCAAAGAGGAAACCCGGGCTCAGGGAACATGTTGAAGGCAAATATGTTTTTTTTTTTTTTTAAGATTTTATTCATTTATTTGACAGACAGAGCTCACAAGTAGGCAGAGAGGCAGGCAGAGAGAGAGAGGAGGAAGCAGGCTCCCAACTGAGCAGAGAGCTTGATGTGGGGCTCGATCCCAGGACCCTGGGATCATGAGCTGAGCCAAAGGCAGAGGCTTAACCCGCGGAGCCACCCAGGCACCCCAGCAAATATGTCTTGAATCAAAGTGTAGCTTCCTTACATTATATGTTAATTAAAAAAAAAAACCCAAAAGATGTATTTTCTAGTAAGAACCTTCCTGAGCTGGGGAATCTCCAGGTCCTGCATGTCAGCAGACAAGTGGAACTGTTCTAAAGCTGGAAGCCAGAGCAATGTGGTCCGTGTCACTCAGTGTGGCCACATGGATCCCGAGAGCAGAGTGCTGTGAAAGGGTGAGGGGGAACTGCACTAGCCATGTTTCCTTTCTGGGCAGGACTGGGGCTTTTCAAGGGCATATGTCAGCACTTATAAAAGTAGTCCAAAGAGCAGACAGGTTGGGGGTAGGAAAAAATGTTCCAGAAAGACAGTGATCAGGAGGGAAATGAAAGACTTCAAGATGCCAGAGAGCCAGGAGGCCCGACTGCCTTCACAGCCATCTGGATTGAGGAGGCCAGACTGCTGATCAGAGCTTGTCCATCTGTTACCTGCAAAGCCGTGTGATTGTACCTGGCAGCCCGTGTGGGCCTCGACTACCTCCTGGGCTTGTATCTCTGAGACAAGTACATCGTCATCACGGGCTGTGACTCGGGCTTCGGGAACCTGCTGGCCTGGCAGCTGGACCTTCGAGGCTTGAGGGTGCTGGCCTCGTGTCTGACAGAGGAGGCAGCCCAGCCTCTAAGAGGCCAGATGTCAGACAGGCTGGGGACGGTGATCCTGGACATCACCAAGACAGAGAGCATCTCTGAGGCTGCCCAGTGGGTGAAGGAGCATGTGGGGAACAGAGGTAACACCCAGATTCATTTGTGTCCCTTCATTGCTTCTCTCTGTGCAAGAAAGACCTCTCTTCTGCTAACTGGGAAGATTCCCAGGATGTTTTCCAGATCTTGAAGTCATGCTAGCTTTCTTCACCTCACCCAGCTTATCAGCAGAACCTCTTCTCTCCCCATTGCCCACCAACATTGAGACCTTGGATCTCTGGACTTTTGGGGAGAATGTGACCTGATGAGGATTTGCCTTCCCAGAATTCCCCTTTACGGTGCCCTCTTTCAGCAGAAATTCTGGATTTCTTGATGCTGAGTGTCTCGGGAGGCTCACTTCCTGGAGGAGTTGCTGAGACAGGGGACCTGCCTAAAGGTTGGCATCGGTGGCTGGGGACATTGCCGGGGCTGGGTCCTGCTCTCAGCACTTTAACAGTACCTCGTAGTATGCTGTGAAATTGTTTCCGACATTGTATTCATTTCATTCAATATACATAATGTCTTGGTAAACTTCTTTGTTGTGTTTGTCCCCAAGGCCTCCCAGTCCTTGCCCCTCTGCTTTGCAGGAGGGAGCTCTCCACTTCGGAGTGAAGATGTGATTGAGCCTGGTTACTTCAAAACTAGTATCAGCAGCCCTGAGAAGATTTCTAGGGCCACCCAGGAGGCATGGAATCAGGCCAGCCTGGAGGTGAAGGAGATCTATAGGGAGAAGTTCCTGGTGTCTGGTGAGTGAACTGTGGGCTGGGGAGAGGGAAGCAAACCTTTGTGTGGTCGTCCTGGGCCCATCCCTAGCGCCTCCTACAGACCGGGGCCCCTCTTCCAGGCTCAGAGTCCCCCCACACAGAAGGGATATTTCTTACCAGCCCCATGGTCCCATGTGATTACCTGGTGACCTCAGGGAAGACACAGACTTGTTAGACCTGCGACCGCTGTTTCCTCTAATGCCCTGGTTGTTTGGGGGAGGAACCTGAAGCCAGAGAGGGAAGAAGACAGACATGGATTCCTGGCAAGCCGGCGTGAGAACCGCTGGTTTTCAGGTGCTCAGATGGCTAGTGTTTGTAGAGACCTCGGTTTCTGCAGAGCACACGTTCCCATGATGGAGCCAGAGGGGGCTTAGTGTGGAGAGTGTTCCTGCGGTAGGAGGTGGGACAGGCTCCGCTGAAATCCATGCGCCCCATCCTCACACTGAAGGCAGAGTTGTCTCTACAGTTCGCGGCTCCCACTCCGGGGGGGGCAGAGGGGGCATTCCTGTAGAGCTGGAAACACGCTTGCACAGCTAGTACTCACGCCTTGCCCTTTCCAGCTCCCTTTCCCATCACCTGTGGCTCCCCTTTTCAGAAGAGCCACACTGGATGGAGAAAAGGGAACGGGGTGGGGGTCGCGCCGCTTGGAAGGTGGTCCCGCTGAGCCTCCAGAAGGGCACCACCAGGGGGCGCGCGCCTCCGTCCCAGCGCGCACTTGGCTTAAAGGGGCGGTCCTGGAGCCGGACTCTCCCTCCTCAGGGCGCCACTGGGGATCTCAGTGCAGAGATTCGCAGCGACCAGTCTCCATCCCCCTGGGGCCTCTGCAGGCTTTCTCGTTCGAGCCCCCACAGCTCCCAGGTAAGTGAGGGGCACCCCAGCCTCTTTTCTCTTACTGCCCTCTCTGAATTTCCTGCGGTTCTTCCCACCTGAAATGGACTCTGAAGCTCCTCGCAGCCCCAGAGAGCAGCGGCAAGCGGTCACGTTGCTTTGAGGATTTCCAAAAGTGCAGCAGGGCTGGGAGATGTCTCTGCTGCCTGGCCCCCTTGAAAACTAGTGGGGAAGGCATTTGTGGTCACTGAGGAAGAAACCCTCTGGTTCCTTGCAAGTAAAGGAATATGGTCTGCTCCCTTAGTGGGGTTTGGTGTCCAGTTAGGACGTGCATGTTGCCTTGCACCCCTGAGCGTTTCCAGGGCTCCTTCCTTCCTCTTTCTTCCTCCCCCAGCCTTTGGGCAGCCTGTGTAGGAGGGTCCTGGTGGTGACCCCAGGAAGCAGGGACGGTTTCATTTCTGCAGCCCTGTCGGTGCTGCCACAGCCTCCCACCTTAAGAGACAAACACTTTAAGACTGTAGTCAGCTCCCCACACAAAACAACTAAAGGCTTAATCGGTGCCCCTTCATGTCTTTTTCACCTGCTGGGGGAGACTTGGGGGCAGGCGAGCCTCTGGTTCCTGTGGGGCAGTCTCTCTGCCGATCCTCCCCTCCCCGTGCCTCTCCTATTTCTCATTTACCAGGTGGAGCTGTATAAATGTGGATAGTGCGGGAGATACCCAGTTACACCCAGAGCAGTCCAAATGGCTTCTGTTCTTGTCCCAGCCCCAGCTCTGTCCACTCTCCTTTTGTGGAAGTGGGGTCCTCTGCCTCACCCTGAACCCCCTCCATGGATAGCCATTCTCCAGTCCTTTCTTTAGTCTGCTAAGGGGGCAGCTCCCGCCTCCTCCCACCATCACCCAAACACACACCGAACCAACATCTTTGCAGTTACATGGGACTACAGCCCTGCCTGCTCGGATGGGGTTTAGGACACCCCCTACCTTGGCCCCTGTGCAAATCGGTCTTTTTGGCCTTTGGAGTCTTGTCTGGGCTGGATTCCAGTCTTTTCTGCCTTTGGAGTCTGTGTCTCGGCTGGATTCTGGCTGTGGGAGGGCAGAGCGCAAGGCAAGCTGGCGGCCGGGCCCGAGGACGGGGCATCTCCACGGAGTGAGACCCCCTTGGCCCAAGTGCTTCCTTTCCACCCTCCCAGCGACTGGGAGCCGTGTCTCTCCTGCATGTCTTTCCCATTCCCTTCTCCCCCTTCCTTGCCTCTGAGGTCAGATTCCCCTTCAGGCTCCTGAACATCTGTCTGCCTCAGAGAACTAGTGCAGCAGGAGGGGATCTTCTATTCTGTGCCTTCTCCTTCTAACCCCTGGAGAGGCTGACAGTGGCTTAGATTTCTGAGGACTGAGTTCTGTATCCTGAGCCCAAGGAGGAAACCCCGGCCCAAGTGTAAGCCAGCAGGCCCAGGTCACACAGCTGGTTGGTAGCAAAGCTGTGTTTTTAAATCATGTGTGCCTTTTTTTTTTTTTAAGATTTTATTTATTATTTGAGAGAGAGAACGAGAGAGAGAGAGCATGGAGGGGAGGGGCCAGAGGGAAAAGCAGACTCCCTGCAGAGCCGGGAGCCCAATGAGGGACTTGATCCTGGAACTCCAGGATCATGACCTGAGCCGAAGGCAGTCACTTAACCAACTGAGCCACCCAGGTGCCCCAAAACCACATGCATCTTGATTCACGGTGTATCTGTCATCTTTATAAGAATCTCCAGTAAGTCAGGGAGACCAGGGTTCCAGCCTTGAATAAGAATGAAGAAGACAGTTCTGAAGCATGAGATCTAGGGCATAGGGGACCCCAGTGCGTGCGTGTGTGTGTGTGTGTGTGGGTGTGTGTGTGTGTGTGTGAGAGAGAGAGAAGGTGGGTAGAGGGAAATGGGAGGAGCACAAGGACCAGAAGAAGGTAAAGCATCTGGGTAAAGCATCTCTGTGTCAAAGGATTCTTGGTGAAATCCGATGGCATCTAGTAGAAAGGGCGTAAGTGTACCAAAGAGCGTGGAAGATGGCACCGGAATCAATAATACCCACTGAAGATGGCGACCGGGAAAAACTCGAGGACGCTCTGTCAGACACCCTGGAGGCTGGCCAGCTGCATTTGTTCTTAAGTCATCCTGCCTGACCACTGGCCACACTCTTGTTTCATTTCAGCCTGTGCATTCCCTGCAAAGCCATGTGGCTGTGCCTGGTGGCCCTCGTGGGCCTCTACTTCCTCCTGCGCTGGTACCGGGAGAGGCAGGTGGTGAGCCACCTCCGAGACAAGTACGTCTTCATCACGGGCTGTGACTCGGGCTTCGGGAACCTGCTGGCCCGGCAGCTGGACCTGCGAGGCTTGAGGGTGCTGGCCGCGTGTCTGACAGAGGAGGGGGCCCAGCAGCTGAGAGACCAGACGTCAGACAGGCTGGAGACGGTGATCCTGGACGTCACCAAGACAGAGAGCATCTCGGCGGCCGCCCAGTGGGTGAAGGAGCAAGTGGGGGACAGAGGTAAGGCCCCGATTCCTGTTTGTGTCTCTTTGTTTCTTCTCTCTGCACCGGGGAGACCTCTCTTCTGTGAAACTGGGGAGGTTCCTGAGATGTTCTGACTTTCAAAGCCTCAAGCTCTGGAGTTTCCAGAGCAGAAGGCCTGCAGTGCCTGGGTCTGAGCTCAGGGTTAGATGAGCCCAGCCTAAGTTTAGGGCCAAAATTCTGGAGGAGGTGTTGGGCCCTCGAGGCTGTGATGGGGCAGCACAGGGCTGGGCCAGGCTGGACCCAGGCTCCTGGTCCCAGCAGGTGCACTGTTTCTGGATGGGGCCTTCACACCCGGGCCTCTGTAGGGCTTTAAGATCAGCCGTGCTTGACTTAGGAGGACACTGAGGCTCGGGGAACTGAAGGGACTTCTAGTCAAACATGGGTGAGGAGTCCTGCTCTTTCTCCTCTATTATGCTGCCTGCTCTTCTCGGGAAAGAGGACATCACTGATGTCTTTTTTTGTGATTAAAAGTATAAAACACACTCGTAGAAAACATAGACGAGGATTAAGATAAAAGAACATTTCCCAAAGGCCGGTTTCCATAGTCATTCTCTATATTATTATGTATCCTCTGATCAGCATTTTCATCATCACATCTTTTCCAAAACGTAATATTCAATGTCTGTATATCCAGGCATGCTACGAGACCACCATTCATTGGAGCCATCCTATAGCGTTGTCTGCTGACGTGTGTTTTCCACTTTTGCTGGCAGAAACAATGTCTCAGTGGAGATTTCTGTACGAAAGCTTTGTTTCCATTCTCAGTAATGTTAAGTAAAATACAAGAATTGGATCAGAGAGCATGCATTTCTTTAAGGCCGGAGAAGGTTTCTGAGCAAGGGAGGGATGAGTATCACAGGGGGCCTTCTTCCCTATCCAGTATCCCCAGGGTCAAACCCTGTGCTTCCCCCCCACCCCCCACCTCTCCCTACCACCAGCCCTTTGTCACTGAGGACTATTTCAAATCCCTTGTGTGTCTCTTCTCCCCATCTCTCTCCGGGGAGCTTTCCTGAAAGCTGAGGCGGCTGGGGACTTAGGAGGAGGGGGTGAGAGTGACCTTTTGGGAGGGTGAAGGAGAGGGCGACCCTTCTTGGGGCTAAGGTAAGACCTTCAGTCTCACCTCCTCCAGAAGCCTGGCCCAGGCTCACCGTGGGGGGACTTTGGAATTCCCTAGCACAAAGGCCGGCCTTGGCTTCCTGACGGATACAGCCTTGGATGTGGTGCGGGCTGTTGCAAAGCCTGTCCCCAGGTGTCCAGGGCAGACCTGTTCTCTAGATTACCCTGATGCTGGAATTTCAGGTCTGTCTTTCCCAACAGAGATTGGGCAGTCAGTTTTCATGTGTTTTTTCTTCCTTTCACTTATTTTTAAATTTTCTTTTCCCTTCTTCGCTGGTTTCCTCTTCATTTTTGTCACTTAGCCATTCCTGTCTACCTCTTGCTGTCTCTTTCCTATGAGAGTTGTGAACGCCATGCTATTATTTGGAACTCTGGGCACGCTCTTCACAAAAAAGGGTTTATTACCTCCTGTGTGCCAGGTCCATAGGAGCAGGAAGACGAGAAGGAGTGTTCATTCTAGCTCAGTGGGCATCCAGAAGATCAGTGTGCATGTAGACCCTGGCCCTCTCATAGCCATCTCGTCCCCAGTTCCTCTCCTGCACGCTTGTCCTTTGTACCATGTAGGCATTGTTGTTGGTTCTGTAAAAAAGTGAATTGGGAGGTGACTTGGGACCATAGCTGCATCTCACTCAGGCACACAGACAATGTTGCTCTCTCCCTGCCCTGTGCCCAGGACTCTGGGGCCTGGTGAATAACGCTGGCGTCTCTGTGCCCGTGGCACCCAATGAGTGGCTGACCAAGCATGACTTCATGAAGATACTCGACGTGAACCTGTTGGGCTTGTTGGAGGTGACCCTGAGCCTGCTGTCGCTAGTGAGGAAGGCCAGGGGCCGCGTGGTCAATGTCTCCAGCATCATGGGCCGGCTCTCCGTTTTGGGTGGGGGCTACTGCATCTCCAAGTACGGCGTCGAGGCCTTCTCAGACTCCCTCAGGTATTGGACTAGGACAGAGGCCCTCCCTCAGTCCTCCTGCTTCTGTGCTTCTGGGGGAGGATTTTCTAGGGCTTCATTTCCTCACAGCCTCAGAGGCTCTTCCTTCCAGATGCTTCTTTCTTCCTTTGTGCCAGACATTCCCTGGGAAGCACCATCCTGTGTTCTGGGTGTTGGAATGGGCCCCAGGTGTATAGAACTGGTTTCACCCACCACTGCCCGGGGGGAGGACCCACAGTAGGGAAGTTTCTGAGGCAGCATTGGACCTGAGATCGTTTGGCTACAGAGCTCATGTCCGTAATTCCTACAATGTTCAGCTTTGGGGGGCCTTTCACATGAGGGGTTCAGCATTTGACTTCGTTCAGTAATTACCTCTTGGCACTTCTGTGAGTATACAACATATGTGTCTGATCTAAAAAGTCTGACAGCTGAGGCGCACCTGGGTGGCTCAGTTGGTTAAGCATCTGCCTTCAGCTCAGGTCATGATCTCAAGGGTCTTGGGATCAAGTCCTACTTCGGGCTCCCGGCTCAGTGCAGAGTCTGCTTCTCCCTCTCCTTCTGCCCTCTCTCTCTCTCTCTCTCTCTCTCTCAAATAAATAGATAAAATATTGAAGAAAAAAAAGAAAAAAAAGTCTGACAGCTGAGAAAAGGGACAAGAGAGACACAGATGTTATGACCATCTCCCCATGATGGTTGTGACCAAGCCAGTTAGCCATGGTGGTGGTGGTGGCGGCTAGTGGAATGAGGAGAGGGTCCTGGAGAAGGGCCAGAGCTGAGGACTGAAGAAATGGATTTGGCACCTGGGCAAAGTTGAGTGGGAAGGCCTGCTGTGTGAGGGAACGACTTGAGCCCAAGCCCAAGGTGAGTCATGGCTGCCTCACTACACTGCCAGGTCCTCCAGGCTACTGGACAAAGCCCAGCTGGACAGGGGGCCTGCTGGGCACCTGGGCATGGGGATAGGGTGGGGGTGGGGGTCCAGACAGGTTGCAGACCTTCATGCTGCTGGCAGCAGGACTCTGTGGAAGGTGTTTACTCGGGTTTGCCAAATCAGCCTCTGGTGAACCAGGCAGAAGTTGGCTCTGAGTCTGAGGGAGCTGAGATGCAGGCTAAGGTGTTCCTCAGAGAACCGAAGGCAGAAGAGGAAGGGAGGGGGTCTGAGGAGGGGTGAGCTGGAGTAAAATGGGCCAAGTCTGGAGACGGATTGGATGTGAGCGGAAACAGGAGGAGATGGCCCGTGAACAGTGTCCTGCGGCAGCCAAGGTGGGACGTGAGCTCAGGAGTGCAGACAGTGCTGGGAAACACACGCACGTTACGCACGGACTACGCCGATCATTATTTTCTCCCCTTGGCTGCTGCTCTTGGAACCTTCCCAAGCTTTTGAGTTGATCCCACCCCAATGTCGAGTTCAGTGTATACCAAGTTTGTTTGTTTGTTGTGTTTGTCCCCGGGGCCTCCCAAGTCCTTGCTTGCCTCTCTGCCTGTCTGCCTTGCAGGAGGGAGCTCTCCTACTTTGGAGTGAAGGTAGCTGTGATCGAGCCTGGTTACTTCAGCACTAACATCTGCAGCCCTGAGAAGATTTCTAGGGCCATCCAGGAGGCATGGGATCAGGCCAGCCCGGAAGTGAAGGAGATCTATGGGGAGAAGTTCCTGGCATCTGGTGAGTGAGCTGTGGGCTGGGGAGAGGGAAGTAAAGCCCATCCCTAGCGCCTCCTACAGACCTGGGCCCCTCCTCCAGGCTCGGAGTCCCCCACAGAGAGGGGACATTTCCTTCCATCCCCATGGTGACCTCAGGGAAGACCCAGGCTTGTTAGACCTGGGACCACTGTTTCCTCTGATGCCCTCGTTGTTTGGGGAGGAACCCGAAGCCAGAGAGGGAAGAAGACAGACATGGATACCTGGCAAGCCGGCATGAGAACTGCTGGTTTTCAGGTGCTCAAATGGCTAGTGTTTGCAGAGACCTCGGTTTCTGCAGAACAGACGTTCCCATGATGGAGCCAGAAGGTGCTTAGTGAGGAAAGTGTTCCTGTGATAGGAGGTGGGACAGGCTCCGCTGAACTCCATGGAGTCAACTTGGAGGTGACCTGGGAGCAGTGGGGAGGTGGGGCGCTTTTGGTAGCTCTTTCCTTCAGTTGATCCTGAAGCAAGAAGACTGGAATGTGAGACTATGTCGTTCTTTTTGGACAGTCAAGAAATCAGTCAAAAAGCTGGAGTCATCGTGTTGCAACAACCTGTACTTGGTGACAGACTGCATGGAGCACGCACTGACGGCCTGCCACCCCCGTACCCGGTACTCCCCGGGCTGGGACACCAAGCTCCTCTACCTCCCCATGAGCTACATGCCCACCATGCTGGTGGACACCATCATTTCCTGGAGCTCTCTGAAGCCCCTTAAGGCTCTGTAACCCAAGCTGCAGTGCATGGTAAGAGTGAGTTGGGTCCAATGTGAGGGTGGGGATGCCTCAGGGGGAGGGAGAGAGATGGAGAGAGGGGGGAATCTCACATCACAAAGGACACCCGCCTCACCTTCCTCCCCACCTCCTCCCCAGGCTTCCCTGGGACATTACTCAGGACTCTGGAGCTATCAGGAGGAAAGAATCAAGTTTTGTGGCTGAGGAATAGGGATTCCAAAGCACACACCCATGTCTTGTTCCTTGAATGGCTTCTCAAGGCTTTGAGCATTTTTGGCCCTCCTGCCACCTTGAGGAATCCATACTCTTGGCAGTGTCAGCAGCGGGGGGGGGGGGTTCTCAGCCCCCCACCTGCTCTGCCTCTGTCCCCCTACACAGGGTGTCCCTCTCCCACAGGATGGACACAGCCTGGGGGAGTTAATGTCCCTCTCCACTGAAGATACCTGTGATAGAATGGAGATGTGCATGATGACCCCAGCCTGCGCCATTAGCCTGAGGGGCCAGCTCCCAGACCTTGGCTGAAAGGACATGTCTAAAATTGGGATCATGACACAGGACACAGAAACCAGTTACCGGATTTCAGTTGGTTGGCTCAATTGGTTAAGTATCTGCCTTTGGCTCAGGTCATGATCCCAGAGTCCTGGGATCAAGCCTCCCGGTTGGTCTCCTTGCTCAGCGGCGAGTCTGCTTCTCCCTCTCCCTCTGCCTGCCACTCCCCCTGCTTGCATGCTCTCTGTCTCTCAAGCAAATAAATAGAAAGAAAGAAAGAATGGAAGGAAGGAAGGAATGAACAAATGAACGAACCAGTTGTTGAGTTGTCTTGAAACCTTGATGTCCATTGATTATTTTTTGCTCAAAAGTTGAAAATTTCCATAGTTCCAGTGATGCGAACTGTGGCCTTGGGGAGCAGTGGGGTGTGAGTCCATGAAAGGAGGAGCCCGGTGCCTTCATGGAGATCAAGGGAGCAGGGGGATAACCTGAGGGGATTTTAAGAGGGGAGTTAGATCACCCCCTTCCTTCCACAGAAGTGGGGGGCCAATGTTTCCTTTCCAGGATTTATCAAGTAACGTGGGGTCACAGGAAACCCATGGGTGGACAGACAAGGAGAAGTCGCTAAAGCACTGGCAGGCCCCGGTCCCTTTCCCAGGGACATCAAGCCTCTTCCCTCAGCAGCATCCTCTCTGCAGCCCTCTGTCCCCTCCTTTAGATTTATGCCCCCAACTGCGGCCCTCCCCAGCTTCCACAGCCCAGGTCTCCCTTCCCCTATCCTCCAGGGGAGGAGAGTGGGAGTCACTTCTGGACCCCAGTCTTTCGTTTCCTGCTAACCTTTGCTGAGCACCTACTGTGTGCCAGGCAGGAATTTCCTCAATTACCCAGCGCTTCCTGCAACCGGGAACTCTCTATGTCCCCACTGCTCTGATGATGTTCTCTGAGTAGGGACTGAACAGAGAAAGCATTTGCAGAGAGTGGTGTTGGTTCCTGAGCTGAGGACAAATGAGCTGGGAGCTGTCTCATCAGGTGTCTTAGTTTTGTTCCCTCAGTTTCAGACCAAGGCCATGGAGCCTTTAGGGGGATCTGATACTACAGAATGACATCAGTGTTCTTGGTGAAAACAGAAAGCGAGGTCAGATGTTGGTGTGTCATTCATTCTGACCCATGCAGTAGATGCTAGAAATGGTCTGGAGGAGCTCGAAGCCCCTCTCTGCTGACCATACTAGTGAGCAGAGGTGTGGATGGAGCCCAACCACCGGCCTGACCTGTCAGCCTCAGGTGCCTACTCAGCAGGGGGCATTTCGAGCCCTAGGAAAAGAGCCCTTCTCCGTGGTTCCCATTCCCCACTGCATGACCTGCTTTTCATAGCTGTTGAGAGTCTGAACCCAGGGGAGCGCTGCCATGATCATCCGTCAGCACAGAGGCCCATGAAATGGTGAGTCGGGCCAGGTCCTGTGTTGGAATCGTTCCAAGTCATCCTTTTCTAAATCCAGAGACAACCCCTGGATGTCACCTGTCTTCTCAAGGACTAGGATACTCCTGGGACTGCTCAGCCCTTGAGCGACATTGTCGGACTTCCCTTAGCCAAGATTGCTCTATTCACCTACCCGGGAGTCAGAGTTGGGACATACCTCCCCAGCTGAGCGTGGGAGTTGTGCCTTGGGCTGGGTGTGCCGTGGGTAAGGTTTGCCTCCACCACTTCCCATCTCTCTCCCACACAGGGTTTGGATCTGCACCCCAGGGGTGTGCCCATGATCTCTCGCTCCCACCATCCTTTCTATAGAATGGCCAAGCTCTCTGGTCTTTCCTGAGGCAACATGTATGTTATTTGATTCTGAAGCTCACTAACCTTCATGGATAGTGGTGCATAGAGATGCTTCTTTGGCTCTTCACCTTGGGAAATTTGTGGCTCTGCTTCTGTCAGAGCCTTTGGACCCGGAAGATATGGGTGGCTGGCCCCTAGTCCCTCAGGATGAGCTGGTGGCCAGGGTCATCTTGGGGAATGATGTCTCTAGAGGTTTATTCCAAGAGCTGCCATAGACCCCAACATCCTTCTGTCCCTGCATCTCAGGGTCCTAGGTGTGGCTCCTCTCTTTCATCTCTTACTTCTTTTTCTTTATCAGCTTCCCTCCTAACTTTGGTGAGTTCTTTGCTCAATTTCCTGGACTCTGTCCCTACTCTCCACATCCTGACCCTGAGAATTTTCCAAGTCTCTGACTCTAGTCCTCTGCTTTTCCCATATGTCATCCCTTCTCAGAGCCAAGATTTGGCCTCAGGTCTTTCCTGCATCTGCCCAGGGATCTCATGGCCTGTCTTCATCATCTGGCTGGACTTCATCTCAACGATGTTCATATCATAACTGTCTCTTCTCCTGCCTCCCTTCCCTATGCCCAAAACATCCTCGACCCTGACTTCTCTTGCCACTTATGGTTCTACCTGTTATCAGCCCCATACATTATTCTAATGGGGTTCTCTAAAGGGATTCTCCCCTTGATTCGTGGTCTCCACTACCCTCTGTACATCCGATTAGCCACTGTGTCAGTTGACTTCATAATCCCTTCCTTCCACTGTCACACACCCCCGCCAGGCTTCTCAGCTCACCAGATCACCTAGTGTGTGCCTAGTCCTAGAGGTGGAAGGAAATGCCCACTGGGGGCCCTGCCCTGGGGTAGCAGCTATTGTGTCTTCTGTTCTTAACTTTGTGTATTTGCCTGGTCACTGGTTGAGGAGAGCTGGGCCTGCCTGGAGTGCCGTGAGGTTCCTCGTTGGTATCACCTCCTAAGGACCCAGGCCTGGAGCTTCTCTTCTTTCCAGTTTTCAGAAATAGCCTCCCTGTAGGCGGGCCCTGCTACCTCTGGCCTCAGGATCTTGGAGGCACATCTACTCTGGGGGTGATGCTTTCTTTTTCTTCTTCTCTTATCATGGAGATTCACCTAAGGGCAGAGAATTCCAAAGAGCTAGTAACCTAAAACTCATTTCTTTGGGGGTTTTGGGGGAGTGGGCAAAACCAATTCTGTTTGTTTTACATTAATGAATTTGTCTTAACTTTTTCCCCTGAAAATAAAAATCGAGTTTATCAATGTGTCTGGCCTCATGACAAATGATTTCGGTCCCCGGGCCGGAGGTGGGGATTTCCAGGGAGGCTCTCTGGGCGGAGTCCTCCTTTCTCACCCGCACTGCTCAGACCACCCAGGACAAGCCCCGTCTCATCATCGACCTCACCAGCAAGGTCTTTCCCATCCTTGGCAGCTTCCCCCATCAGGGCTGGGGGAGAGCAAGAGGCAGCCACCAGGACTGTCTGAGGTCACACAACTTCAGGTTGGACTTGAATTTCTTGCATCTAGGCTAATTGGTGTGTTGATGCATCCACCTCTAGAAATTATAAAGTGGCTCACTCGGGAGCCCTGGGTCTGTTGCCAGTGGTAGAAGGGAGGAGAGCTCTTCTCAGTGGGTTCCAGCAGACTGCCAGCCGGGGCTCAGAGGACCAGCCTCTCCCACCATCTCCTGAGCCCAGGCTTCTTGGCGGTCACCTTCCCCCTGCTCCATGGCGGCTCTCACGGATCTCTCCTTTATGTACCGCTGGTTTAAGAACTGCAATCTGGTGCGCAACCTTCCAGACAAGTACGTCTTCATCACGGGCTGTGACTCGGGCTTCGGGAACCTGCTGGCCCGGCAGCTGGTTGATCGGGGCATGCGGGTGCTGGCTGCTTGCTTCACGGAGGAGGGAGCCCAGAAGCTTCGGCAGGATACCTCTTACCGGCTGCAGACCATCCTCTTGGATGTCACCAAGACGGAGAGCATACAGGCAGCGACCCAGTGGGTGAGAGACCAAGTGGGCGAGCAAGGTGGGGCAAATCACATTCTTCGGCTCTCTCGGTGTTTTCTTCTCTCTTTCTCCCCCCAGACGTCTGACAGTGACCAAGGACACTGTTGTTCAGATGCGATGGGAGAGGAGATGGAGAGAAGGGGGCTGGGGCTCTGGCTCAGCGGGATTGGAAACCTTTGTGTGGTTTGGTCAGTTCATATGAAGGGGGTGATTTCCCAAGGAAGTTTTCTCTGCCAGAGACTCAGAGGGGTGGAGGGAGGCTGCCATAGGAGGCCGGAGAAGGAAGATGTGTTCTGTACGTCCAAGGCGCTAAAGAAGGAGTTGCCTTTCCAGGACCTGGGAAGTCCTGGCCATCAGCTCCTATGGCAATGAGAGCACGTTTCTTGGGATTGGACTGGGGGGAGGGGAAAGGGAACACGAGGTTGGACTCCCTGAGTGGGGGTGTTTGTTCTCCTTGACTTTGTCAGGCTAGAAGGCAGGAGAGAGAGAGAGAGATCTGTCCTCTTCCCCATATCATGGTGGATGTTGGGTTGACTTCAGGTTAAATGCTGACATCAGAGTGACCACTCCTTCTGGGAAGAGAGACTGTGGGCTGGCTGGGCTGGGCTGCCCAGGAAGCTTCCTGCACGAAGGGCATGAGCTCAGGAACAGGAGGAACGGGATGGCTCTGGTGTGGAACAGCAGCCCAAGGGAAGTACTGACTCCTAAGGGGACTGGTCTGGGGGCCCCCACAGCGGGTGGGGGCCAGAGAGCCCTGGGGCCCAGGAGGGGCCAAACAGTAACTCCCTTCTTTCCTTTTCTCCTTAGCATTTACCACTATCCAATATACAACTTACTTATTACAACTTACTTATTTTTCTTATTTATTGTCTGTTTTCCCCTGCTAGAATAAAGCTTCCCGGGCAGGGCCAGAGGTGGGAGGCGAAGGGGCTTTTTGTCTCTTTACCTTATCTATCCTTAGTACCCAGACAGTGTCTGGCATCTAGTAAGGTGCTCAGTAAATTTTTGTTGAATGAACTAATTGATGGATAATTCAGTGAGAGTCAGTCTCTTTCTTCAATAGGCCGCCTTGCCCAGTGCCCTACATTCAGCCTTGAGCCACTTGTATTCATGAGTCATTGGTATATTAGGTTCTTGTTCCTGCTGTAATCAATTAAAGCAATAACTTAGTGGCTTAAAACAACACAAATTTAGGGGTGCCTGGGTGGTTCAGTTAGTTAAGCATCTGCCTTTGGCTCAGGTCAGGATCCCAGGGTCCTAAGACCGAGCTCCCCCACCCTCAGGCTTCTTGCTCAGCAGGGAGCCTGCTTCTGCCTCTGCATCTTCCCTACCCTCCCCCCATTGGTTGCTCTCTCTCTCTCTCTCTCTCTCTCATTCAAATAAATGAATAAAATCTTTAAAAATATATAAAACAACACAAATTTATTAACTTATATTTCTAGAGGTCATAAGTCCAAAATGGGTCTCACTGAGCTAGAATCAAGGTGTCAACATAGGTGCGTTGCTTCTGGAGGCCCTAGAGGAGAGTCCATCTCATTGCCTCTCCCAATTTCTAGAGGTTTCCTGCATTTCTTAGCTTATGACCCTGTTCCTCCATCTTCAAGACCAGCAAGGTAGGGCCAAGTCCTCTTCACACTGCTCTTTCTCTCTCTGGTTCTGTTCCTGCCTCCTTCTTCCACCTAAAAAACCTCTCTGATTATATTGGGCTCACCAGGCTAGTCCAGGATAATCTTCCCATTTTAAGGTCAGGTGATTAACAATTTGACTTCCATGTGCTTTCTTAATTCCTTTTTCCCATGTAACCCACCCTGTTCATCGGTTCTAGGGACTAGTATGGGGACATGTTGGAGGGGCTGTTATTCTGCCTACCCCAATGGGCAACATCCTTGGTCTAAAAAGTGCTGGGAAAGCGGGGGGGCGGGGTTTCTGGCATGCTTTCTTGTTGCCCCTGAGATCTCTGGGCATCACAGGTTGGCACAGCCTTAGAGCTATTCACACCGCTCTGATGGTTCTCTAGTTGTTCTTTGCAGGAAAAAATGGTTTGCCAGTGGACAGAGCTATTGGCCAGGGTGATCACAGGTCGTGGCAAGTGTGTATCCCTTCTCCACAGACAGAGACCACTTGGGTTTTATAGTCTTTGGGCCCCAGGAGCCTCATTGCCTCATCTGTAAGAAAAAGAGTCTCCTGTGCCTGGGAAGGTCCGAGTCCTACCAGGCAGCCGGTCTCCTGGCATCTCTCTAGTTAGAGGAAGGCAGGAAGGTATGGTGGGAGCATGGCTTGTGTGTGGACCCCAGGCCTAAAATGAACAGTGGACCACGAGTGGTGTTTACATCTAGACCTGCCATTGGAAGAGTGGAGTTTTGCTGGGAGGGGACTCTTGAGGCTGCAGGTGTCAAGGTGGGCTGGTGGAATGAGGGGAGGGGAAGGGAAAGGAAGGAGTCAGGACAGTGGGGTTCATGGAATCTTTGAATGAAAGAGCTGGAAAGTGTCCTTAGGTATCATTTAGAGACTTTCCAACATGTTTTTAGCATCAAACATCCTCCTCCAAGTGGAATTTCACTTGGAAGCTCAGTGTGTAAAACAAATGAAAGTGAGGCCTCCCCTGCAGGTTCTGGGGTTTAGCCTGGAAGGGTCTCCAGATTGCAGACTGCAGGCCGGAAGCAGATGTTCTGCCCAGGCGATGAAGGACCTGAGGCCTTTCATCGAGAGAGGAAGTGACTTGTCAGGAGCTGGAGGTAGAACCAGGACTAGAACTTAAGGCCCTTCAAGCGTGGGTCCTTGCAGAGTTGAATGACAATACTCAGCATTATTTCTCTCCATTTACACCAACTCAAATTAAATATCTGAAAGAGAGCCCTTATTACATTTTTTTCATGTTTTATTTAATGTTTCATGTTTTATTTAAATGTGTTACATATTTACTTATGAATATTATTAATGTCCTCTCTGGTTTGTGAGCTCCTTGAGGGATAAGACCCTGTCTTGTTCACTTTATGTCTCTATCACCTTCCCCTGTAACTGACCGAGACTAGATAATGGAGGGATGAATGGATGAATGTGGGAGCGGATGAACGGAGTTGGTAATGTGCAAAATGGAGTGCATTTCTTACACTTAGGTGAATAGAGAGGAGGAAGCATGAGGGCTGAAGGACTTTAGGAAAACTAATTAGTAAAAGGTATATCTTCCTCTGGCCCATCACAACTCCCCACCACAAGCCACCAGCCGGGCCATCTTGTGCCTTGGCAGCCCTGGGCTGGTGGGTGGGGGACTCTGATGCTTTTCCAGAGACGCGAATGATTTCTGTGTGGTTCTCTCTCCCTCCATCACACCCCCAGGCCTCTGGGCCCTGGTGAACAATGCTGGTGTAGGCCTGCCCAGTGGACCCAATGAATGGCTGATGAAGGAGGACTTCGTGAAGGTGATCAACGTGAACCTGGTAGGACTGATCGAAGTGACCCTCCATATGCTACCCCTGGTCAAAAAAGCTCGGGGCAGGATCGTCAACATGTCCAGCTCTGGAGGTCGTGTGGCTGTCATTGGTGGTGGCTACTGTGTCTCCAAGTTTGGTGTCGAGGCCTTCTCTGACAGCATCAGGTGACTGAGCCCCGGGACCAAACCACTCTGGGTGGGAGTCCTGTGGGTTTCACCTCAGGAAGAGAGGGCTAGGGAGGATAGCATGTGGGCAGGGGAGTTCTGGAGGTGGGGACCTAACACAGGAGCAGGAAGAAGCCTCGTCCTCAGGGGCCTTCCCCAAGGACCAGGAGAAGGAATGAGGAGAAGAGGAGGCTGGTGATGGGCGCTGTCTTCCTGCCCTTCCCTTGAGCTGTCCCAAAGCGACTGAAACTATGTTTGGGCTTATGGGAGTAGGAGGGGGAGTCTCTCATGCAGACAGAGAAGTCTGGGGGCAGACAGGCCCAAGGGAGACCCTCAGAGGAGGAGTCAGGCCTTCTCCAGACCCCTCATTCCCTTTGCCATGTGGTTGTCAGGTATGGGGCCAAGTGGGAGGAACCTGGTAGGAGGCAGAACTTTGGTCTAGATTCACCATTGATTTCTTTCCCGCTGCGTTTGCCTAATGCAGATTGCTTGGGAAAGGGCTGAGGCCCTTATTTGCATGAAGGCAGTGCCAACCTGGTACAGGGGTGGGGGAGTGGCTCTAGGTTCCTGGGGAGGTAAGCCCCTGTAGAGGCATCAGAAGTGACTCTCCCAGACGATCCTTTGTCATCTTGGGGCCCCAGACTGAGTCCAACTCTTCTTTCCCAGGCGTGAGCTCCACTACTTTGGGGTGAAAGTCAGCATCATTGAGCCTGGGAACTATCGAACATCCATCCTGGGCAAGGAGGGCCTGGTGTCCCGCATGCAAAGGCTGTGGGAGCGGCTGCCTCAGGAGACCCGGGATAGCTATGGGGAGGAGTACTTCCGCAACTGTGAGTTCTCTGGGAGAGAGAGGGGGTCTCTGAGAGGAACAGCAAGACCTTGGGGATCATTGACTCATTTTCATTGCAGAGTTAAGGGCACGGAGGCTCAGGAGGGTTAAGGACCCAAGGTCACACAACTAGTGGCAGGGCTGGGATTTGACAATTGAGACCAGGGGCAACTGCTCAGAGTGGCAGAACCATAGCCTTCATGGGGAGAGGAGTGTTAGGGGAGATGCTGCCCACTCCTGACCCCTGGTATTCATTATTCTGTAAGCAAACAGGTGAAAATGCACTGCTATGAGTGCAGAGAAGTTATTCAGAGCACAGCTGGTTCACTGCAGTAGTTTTTTCTTTAGGAAACAAAGAGGGGGTTCATTGGCATTGGGGGGGTGAAGGGTACTTAAACTACACTGTCCTGCCCTCATCCACCACTCACCCAGGTCTTGCCCAGAAGAGGTGAATTCTCTATCTTCCCAGACCATCTCCCAAGTTGGGCCAGCTGTTGTTCCTGTCGTTTTCAAGTTTTAATCCCTTATTGGCAAGTCTGACTCTCAGGCACCATTTCCTCTGGAGTTCTTGGGGCTCTCACTGAAGCAGTCCCAGTGACTTGCCCATGTCCCGGGCAAAGGTGTACATCAGGGACCTGTAAGTGTGCCATGTGGCTTGTCTCCTATTTGTGTTGTGAGCGTTGGCAGACTTGGAGCACTCAGATGCCTTGCTCCCTTCCTCATAGCCTCAGGCTTGTGTACAAGATGCAAACAGAATAGCCCCTCATGTTTGTTAGAGCCTTACAACAGACCAGTCTGTGCCTTAGATCATTTGAGCCCCACAATGGTCTCATGACAAAGGCCAGGGCTTTAAAAAAAAAAAAAAAAGATTTTTAAAAAATCTTTAAATTTTTTTAAATTAAAATTTTTAACATTTTAAAAAATTAATTAAGTTATTTATTTCAGGGAGAGAGAGAGAGTGCGCGCATGTGCACAAGCATAGGGCGAGGGGCAGAGGGAGAAGCAGACACCCCACTGAGCAGGGACCCCCACCCCAGGGCTCCGAGATCATGACCTGAGCCAAAGACAGATGCTTAACTGACTGAGCCACCGAGGCACCCCTGTTACTATTTTTTAATAACAATTTTTTTTTCTTGCATGCTTTTGTAGAAAATCTGGGAACTCTAGGACCTATATAGGAGAAAAAAAGAGCCTTCAGTGACTAGGAATCCCACCAGCCAGACAGTATTTTTACTTATTTTCTTCCAATTTTTCCCATGCACTTGTATACACTTGTTTTCTATTCTGTCCTCCCACATCGTCTACCCTTCATCTTTATTATTCTCCAGAGCAGGTATTATGATCCTCATTTTACAGATGATGGAAGTTTAAGCTCAAAGTCACACAACTAATAAGTGGCAGAACTGGGCACAGTTCTTCTCATTGCTAATTCAACACACAGTTGTTGAGTTCAGGAAGAGAAACAAGATTATTTACAGGGCATTTGCCTAAGGGACAATCTGCAGTGTTTGGTAGATCTGCCTGAAACGTGGGATCTGGCATCTGATGGAAAGGGAATTTGGATAGAATTCAGAAGAAACCATGTCCTATGAAGAGTAACAGAGCCGTTGACTTTCCTTCCCTCTTGTGCCCTCAAACAGATACTGACAAGTTAAAAAACATGATGCAGCTGGCAGAGCCAAGGATCAGCGAGGTCACCAACAGCATGGAGCACGCCATCATTTCCCGGAGCCCCCGCATCCGCTATAACCCGGGCCTGGATGCCAAACTCCTCTACATCCCATTAGCTAAGTTGCCCACCCCTGTGACAGATTTCATCTTGAGCCGGTACCTTCCAAAGCCAGCAGACAGTGTCTGAGCTGGGGAAGTCCAGGGGTGGTCAGTAGAGTGTGGAGGAGGGAGGAGGGTGGGAGAAGAGACTGTAGGGTCCAAAGAGGTGGTATCAGACATTCTGAGGGACGCTTTGCTTGGCTGACACCCACTGTCGGAGAATTTATGGATAACTTCTAGCAGAAGACAAGTGCCTCTTCCCACTTACTGGGACTCTACAGAAACCCCAGGTGGCCTTTGCAGATGCAAAGACCTATAGCATGGCCCCAAGAACATCTGTGACTCATTAGGGATTTGGGTTTTTCTGGATGTGAAAATGTCAAGGGGAGGAAACTGAGCTCCTGCTGAATCATGAGCCTCTGTCAGTTATCACCACCACTGGGAAATACTGCCGGATAATCGAGCCCACAGAAGCATCTCAACGACTTTCCTACTGAGTCTCTAAATATGCATTAACCTCATTCCCACAACCCATTATTTAAAATATGTAGTAGAGCAGACAGGGAGTGCAAGATTATATCAAGTAAAAGTTTATGATGTTTTCTTTCTATATAGATCTCTCTGTTCATAGGTGATTGGGATCCACATAAAATAACATTCATTTATTTAATCACCATTGATTAATTTTTCAAGTATTTATTGAGTGCCTACAACATACCAGGCACTATGTAAGTGCTGGAAGGATGTAAAGAGGATTAAATCATGGTCTTGGGTTTTTTTATTTTTTATTTTGTGGTTCTGTTTTTTAACACAATATCTAGTAGCAGAGATAGGACAAACAGTGACAGAAGAAACAGAAATCAGAAAATCACATTTTTAGCTACGAGGAACCCAGAGGCCATCTAATCCAGTAGTTCCCTGTACATCATAATCGCCTGGTTAGTTAAAAATACAGATTCCTGGCCCCAATGTTAGATTATCTGATTCAGTAGCTTGGAACGGGGCCCAGGAATCTGTGTTTGTAACAAGGTGATGATTCTGATGTCCTTGGGTGCATGGGAACCACCGATATAGCTCCACAGTAGTACCGAATGCTCAGAGGAGGAAGTGACCTATCCAAGGCCTCCCAACGTGATGGCCGGGACAAAACTCAGTGTTCAGATTCCCAGAGTTATAGTTATAGAGAATATATTTTTGACATTAGTAACATTGTCAAATAAGTCATGAAACTAAATTAAAAAAAAAAAAAAACCACCAAACTTCTAAGTCATGTGAAATTCTATTGAAAAGACTTTTTTGATCTTGAGAGTGGTTATGTAATAAAAGTCAAATGTGAATTTTTAAAATTAAAATGTCTTTATTGGTGTCTCTTCAACATCCGACTGAACTTGAAAATGACAAAATGAATGTTTAATTACCTCTGCAGAGACCCCTTTTCCAAATAAGGTCACATTCATGGGTTCCAGGAATTATGGCTTTAGCAATAAAGAAAGGACAGGATTCAGTGTTTGAATAATGGCACCGAGGATGCAGATTCCTTCTACTTTGCTCTGCCATACAGTTTTGGCTTTATCCTACTTATCTTTATTGTTGTGGTGTGACTGCCAGTGGCACTGGGAACTCTGTGCTTTTCCATTCACAATTTACTGGAGAAGAAAGGGCCTGTCTTTTCATGGTATTAAAGATTAAGGAAGTCTATTTCCCAGAGCCCTCACCAAGACTCTCCTTGAGACACAAATTTGTCCCCAGTTGGCTTAGGTTTGTCCATCCCTGAACAAATCATGGACAAGGGGGTAAGTTGCTATGAATAGTTTAGATTAATTGGGACATGGTAGGGAGTGAGTCATAATGCCTACTGCCCAGGAAAATTCAAAACTTAGACTCTGTTATTAAGAGAGTTGAATCTAGGTTAAAAACAAATTTTCTTTCCTGAAGGCACAATACTTGGGATAGATCATGACTAGGTAATATTTTGAGATATTAATTTCTACATGTTCATTGTTCCCTGTTTTCCCATTTCTCTTTTCCCTACTCAGGTAGGAAGATAATCTAGTACTGCTTTACCTAGGGTGAGATATTTGGACAAATACATTTCCTGCATCTTCTCCCCCTTTAGTTTCTTCCTCCAACCTTAATATTTTTAGAGAAAACACTGGAATTGGGGAAATAAACAAAAGGAAATGTGACTTGTGGATGTACACAGTGTCTCAGAGAAGCAGGCCCCTTTCCCCAAGACAAGGAGATTCACTCTGGCTGATAAGCGAATGAGGTTTGGCTCTTCCAGAGGAGGAAAGGCCATTCACATTGTGGAAGAACCTTGGGGAAGTAGCAAGACTCGAAAGAGTGACAGCTTCATTGTGTGTTTAGGTAGATGAGACCCTGGGTGACTTCATGTAAGACACCTGTGTCCCACCATAACAGGAAGGCAGTAGAGATTCACCAGATATAAAGAGTATATAAAGAGCATATAAAGACTGGGATGGGGTGCCTGGGTGGCTCAGTGGGTTAAGCCGCTGCCTTCGGCTCAGGTCATGATCTCAGGTTCCTGGGATCGAGTCCCTCATCGGGCTTTCTGCTCAGCAGGGAGCCTGCTTCCCTCTCTCTCTCTCTCTCTCTCTCTCTGCCTGCCTCTCTGCCTACTTGTGAACTCTGTCTGTCAAATAAATAAATAAAATCTTTAAAAAAAAAAAAAAAGACTGGGATGGCAGACACTTAAGTGGTAATCTATGCATACAGAAGACTTGATTTTTTGCTCTAAGGGCTATCCCCGCCTCCCACCCTACCATTAATGGTTAAGGTGTTTGTTTGCTTTTTTTAAATTTGTGGGCTGAGATTAAAATCTGCTCCAGGGGCACCTGGGTGGCTCAGTGGGTTAAAGCCTCTGCCTTCGGCTCGGGTCATCATCTCAGGGTCCTGGGATCGAGCCCCGAATCGGGCTCTCTGCTTAGTGGGGAGCCTGCTTCTCCCTCTCTCTCTGCCTGCCTCTCTGCCTGCTTGTGATCTCTGTCTGTCAAATAAATAAATAAAATCTTTAAAAAATAAAATAAAATCTGCTCCAGTATTACAGTCTAGTTTCTTTCATATTAGGATTATAACTTTTCTTGTGTAGCTTTTGTATTTTCCTGAAGTTTTAAGTTACCTTTTTTTGCACTTACTCAACTTCTTAATCAAATTATCTCCACAAGTTTTTGTTTTGTTTTGTTTTGATTTCAAGCATAGAAGTAATATGATCTGATTTAAATTTTGGAAAGGTGGGGCGCCTGGGTGGCTCAGTGGGTTAAAGCCTCTGCCTTCGGCTCAGGTCATGATCTCAGAGTCCTGGGATCGAGCCCCACATGGGCTCTCTGCTCAGCAAGGAGCCTGCTTCCTCCTCTCTCTCTGCCTGCCTCTCTGCCTACTTGTAATCTCAGTCTGTCAAATAAATAAATAAAATCTTTTAAAAAATTTTTTAAAAAATAAATTTTGGAAAGGGCTCTGTGGAGACTGAAATGAGGGAGCAATGGTGGAAACAAAGGGACCATTGCATAGTCCAAGAAAGAAATAATGGTACTATAGGTTAAAGTGGTGGTTGTAGGGATAATGAGAATGAATGAAATCAGTATATAATTTGGAGGCAGAACCATTGAAGGATTTTAATCAGTTACTCTGTCAAAAAAGAATTTATTATGCTCCTACTATGTGCCAGGTGTAGTTCTAGATGCTGGAGTTAGAGTAGTAGACAAGACTGAGTCCTTGCCTCCAAGCAGTTTATATCCTGATGGAGTGGAGGTGCTGGGCAATACACACAAAAAAAAAATAATAAATGAAATAATTTTATATACTGATAAATGCCATTAAACAGAGAAAATTTAGTAATTTAATAGATGACCAAGGAGGTTGTTTACCTTTTCTTAAACCAATGTTATTGAGATAAAATTTATATTAAACAAAATGCATCCTTTTGACTATAAAGTTTGATGAATTTTGACTTATAAATATATCTGTGCAACCACCATGCCAAGATATAGGACATTTATCTCATCCCAAAAAGCTCCCTGGTGCCTCTTTTTTTTTTTTTTTTTTTTTAATTTTTTTTAAATTTTTTTTTTAAATTTATTTGACAGAGAGAGATCACAAGTAGGCAGAGAGGCAGGCAGAGAGAGAGGGGGAAGCAGGCTCCCTGCTGAGCAGAGAGCCTGATTCGGGGCTCGATCCCAGGACCCTGGGATCATGACCTGAGCTGAAGGCAGAGGCTTAACCCACCGAGCCACCCAGGTGCCCTCCCTGGTGCCTCTTTGAGGTAAATCTTCCCTCCTTTCAATAACACTGGTTTCTGCCAAGTCTCTAGACAACCATTGATGAGCCTGCTATCTCTATAGATTTCTTTTGAGGCTACTTATTTTTATTCATTTCCTTTAAAAAAATTTTTTATTTACATCCAATTTAGTTAACATATAGTGTATTATTAGTTCCAGGGGTAGAATTTAGTGATTCATCAGTTGCACGTAACACCCAGTGCTCATTATATCAAGTGCCCTCTCAAATAAATAAAATCTTAAAATAAATATAAATAAAAAATAAAATAAAATCTTAAAAAAATTAATGCCCATCACCCAGTTACCACACCCCCCACCCACCATCCCCTCCCCTCAATTTGTTTCCTATACTTAAAAGTCTCTTATGGTTTGCCTCCCTTTGTTTTTATCTTATTTTTTCCTCCCCCTCCCCTATGTTCATTTGTTTTGTTTCTTCAGTTCCACGTATGAATGAAATCATATGATAATTGTCTTTCTTTGACTTATTTCTTTTTTTTTATTATTTGAGAGAGAGGGAGAGCATGAGAGGGGGGAGAGTCAGAGAGAGAAGCAGACTCTCCTCTGAGCAGGGAGCCCAGTGTGGGCTTTGTCCCAGGACTCCAGGATCATGACCTGAGCCTAAGGCAGACAATCAACTGAGCCACCCAGGCACCCCTTCTCTGACTTATTTCACTCAGCATAATACCCTCTAGTTCCATCCACATCATTGCAAATGGCAAGATTTTTTTTTCTTTTTCTTTTCCTTTTTTTTAAGATTTTACTTACTTGGGATGCCTGGGTGGCTCAGCCAGTTAAGCGTTTGCCTTCAGCTCAGGTCATGATCCCAGGGTCCTTGGTTCAAATCCAGCATTGGGCTCCCTGCTCAGTGGGGAGCCTGCTTCTCCTTCTCACTCTGCCTGCTGTTCCCCCTGCTTGTGCTCTCTCTCTCTCTGGCAAATGAATAAGTAAAATCTTAAAAAAAACTATCTTTTAAAAAGAGGATTTTATTTATTTTGGGGGGGCGGGGCTTGTGAGAGAGAGTACAAGCAAGAGGAGGGGCAGAGGGAGAAGCAGACTTCCTGTTGAGCAGAGAACCCTACTACGGGCTTGATCCCAGGACCCCGGGATCGTGACCTGAGCAGAAGGGAGGAGGCTTAACTGACTGAACCACTGCAAATGACAAGATTTCATTCTTTCTGTTGGCTGAGTAATATTCCATTGTGTATGTATACCACATCTTCTCTATCCATTCATCTGTCGATGGACATTTATGCTATTTCCATATTTTAGCTATTTTGGACATTGCTGCTATAAACATTGGGGTGCATGTGTCCCTTTGAATCACTATTTTTGTATCCTTCGGATAAACACCTAGCAGTGCAATTGCTGGGTCATGGGGTAGTTCTATTTTTAACGTTGTGAGGAACCAACATACTGTTTTCCACAGTGACTGCATCAGTTTGCATTCCCACCAACAGTGTAAGAGGGTTCCCCTTGAGGCTACTTAT